TGCTAAATCCTGGATTATGGGGAGACATTATAGGTATGATTTTAAAATGGGTGTCGGAAAGCAAAAGTTAAAGGAGGAAGCATATAAAAACACTACCTCCAATCCCACTGCAAATGTCTTCATGTATGAATACTTTGTTGAAACCAATACAGGTTGACTTACAATCATTTGTTCAGCAACTGTTTAAAATTACGATGGATCTGGGGAAAAAATGGACTTATGACTAGTGCCCAAAGTTACAGCCTTTGAAAAGCTCCACAGTAAATGTGATAAAAAAAATTCAGGTACTTGGCAGCCTGCCTGCACTTACAATCACTGGGGCAATGCAACTCCACCCTTACATCTCCCCCCTCCTCCATAGCAGCATTTGTGGGTGCCAGCACCCCGGGCCACTACTTCAGCCCCAGCACCATCACTACCACCGAGAGATGTTGCCTCAAGCCCCACACTGTAGTCACCCCAATGTCCTTGCACAAAGCCTGTCTTCCAAAGGGTCTGCCACACCCAACAGACCTCTGCGTATGTGTGGTGTGTCCAGTAAGTGAATGGAGATGACGGGACCTTCTTTCTCCTCCCGCCCCCTTTTCCTAAGGAACTGACCTCATTCCTCCCCTTTTTTGGACGCATTCTTAGAGGGGGGAAAAAGAGACTCAATAAAAGTTATTCACACCCCCATTTTCACGATTCCTCAGAAAGCCTCTGGAATAGCCATTCTGGAAACCGAGTGCCCGTTATCACGAGATATGGGTACATCAGGTGGCAGCTGCCTGAAACAGCTGAAGGCCCCAGGATTTGATTTGTTCCAGGGGCACCTCTAATTTTCAACTGCACTGCAGCAAGCTCCCCAACTCACACCGCAGCCCAGAGGGTCTCCAGCATCCCCTTTTGCACCCCCACACTCCTTACCTGGGATTCCCTGCACTTAATGACCCATGATTCTGAATTAACAATGGCAAGCAGGAGTGCTGGGATTGTGGTCATTAAGAGAGGCAGCCATGTGAGCTCTCACTGTACGACCACATCGGTCAATCTCAACTGTGGTTGTAAATGGAGGACTATCTGCGCAGAAGTAGTCCTCGACTTACTGCCATACATTTAGTGACTATTAAGAGGTTACAATGGCACTGAAAAAAGTGACTCACAACTGGTTTTCACACTTATGACCGTAGCAACATCCCCATGGTCACGTGGTCAACGTTTGGGGGATTGGCAACTGGCCTGTATTTATGACTGTCCTGGCATCATGCGATCACCATTTGCAACCTTCCCAGCCAACCAGCAAAGTCAATAGGAGAAGCCGAATTCGCTTCACAATCGCACGATTTGTTTAACTGCAGAGATTCACTTAACAACTGTGACAAGGTCGCAAAACGGGGCACAGCTCACTTAACAGTTGACTTGCTTAGCAGTGGAAACCTTGGGCTCCATTCGTGGTTCTAAGTCAAAATCTCCCTCTGATCCCCAAACTTGCGAATCAATTTCGGAATCTTTTTCGCTTGGAGTTTTTGGCTCTCGCTTAACCAAAAGGAAAGCAATCAGAACATGCTCTTTCATAGGTTTTGAAGGCTTCTCTGTAGGCATTGGCTGCTCAGCTTTGGGGGAAAACAATGAATAAGGATAGGAATATTTACTTACAAAGGAAAGGATTAATATTTAGGAAATGAGAAATCAGGAAGGTTAGTAAATAAAATTGACAATATGCCACTCTGGCAAAAGATAAAAATTTCACCTTTAAAATCAGAAAGGTTTGAAAGGCTTTCATTCAGTAAGAACAGCAGCAATACCAAGAACTGAAAACAAGACAGAGAACTTCAGAGACATTCCTGTTCTAACATTCAAAGCCACATTGATCTGGGTGACGCAAGGGCCCATCTCCACTCCAGTTAGGAGTGAGCTGTGATCTTGTCCCACTCTACTGACTGTTTTAACCATGCTGAACTAAGTGTACGATCACAATCGGGCCCACAATGTACGTGCTGTTAAGTGAGACATTTGTTGAGTGAATTTTACCCCATTTTATGACCTTTCTTGCTACAGTTAATTGAATCAAAGCAGTTGTGAAGTTAGTAACACGGCTGTTAAGTGAATCTGGTTTACCCATTGACTTTGCTTGTCAGAAGGTCGCAAAAGCAGATCATTATGATCCCGGGACATTGGAACCACCATAAATACGAGTCAGTTGCCAACTGTCTGAATTTTGATCATGTAATAATAATAATAATAACAATAATAATAGTAGTAGTAGTAGTAGTAGTAGTAGTAGTAGTGGTAGTAGTAGTAGGAACTGCTTCCATCCTGCAATGATATCTGTAATACCATCAAACATCCACATCTGCCTATCCCAGGTCCTTGGTAGACTCGATAAGTAGACAAAAATGCCAAATCCAGTCCGAACATCTGGCTGACTGCGCGATGATCCTCAATAATAATGATGATGATGATGATGATGTTGGAAGGGACTTTGGAGGTCATCTAGTCCAACCTCCTGCTCAGGCAGGAAACCCTATACCAGGGGTAGGCAACCTTGGCTCTTTTATGACTCGTGGACTTCAATTCCCAGTATTCCTGAGCCAGCCATGCTGAGGGGAAGGGAGAGGTTTCCAAGCTGAGTCCACAAGTCATAAAAGAGCCAATGCTACCTACCCCTGCCCTATACCATTTCAGACAAATGGCTGTCCAGTCTCTTCTTAAAATCTTCCAGTGTTGGAACATTCACAGCTTCTGGAGGCAGGTTGTTCCACTGATTAATTGTTCTGTCAGGAAGTTTCTCCTTACTTCTAGGTTGCTTCTCTCTTTGGTTAGTTTCCATCCGTTGCTCCTTGTCCTGCCTTTGGGCGCTTTGGAGAGTAGCTTGACTCCCTCTTCTTTGTGGCAGCCTCTGAGATATTGGAACACAGCTATCATGTCCCCCCTCGTTCTTCTCTTCCTTCTCTTCATGTGACCATGAGGAGGCTGCAATGGTCATAAGTGTGAGAAATGGTCATAAGCCACTTCTTTCAGTGATGCTGTACCTTGCAACGGTCACTAAAATAACTGTTGTAAGTCGAGTTGAGTGGTGCACTAGGAGCAGGAAGACCCAGGTTTAGTTCTGCTTAGGCATGAAAGCTTGCTGGTTGATTTTGAGCCTAATCCTAACCCTCCCGGTCCTAAGCATGGCCCGGCTCTGCAACAACCTGGAGTGATAAACAGCAGCTCTTACTGCATTGATAGCTTCATTGGAACTAGGCAAAGCACAATGCAAAAACAAGAGGACCCTGTGATTATGTAGGATTAACGCTAAGAACCACAACACATTTATTCATACGGAAGTGGTCAGTGTAGATTTTTAATTGTAGTTAAACCTAATTACATTCCAGCATACTCCAAAGTTCGCCCTGCTTCAGATCCCAGTATAAGGATTCCAAATTTAGAAAGGCACTATATCTGACACTGGAAAGGGAAGCAGGTGATTGTACAACATTCATACAACAAAGCTAACCTGGCCATTCTCTCTCCCAGCCACCGACACTTCAAGTGTCACTTCAGGATGGTTTTGTCATGCCCATAGCCAAGGCATGAAATGAGTTTGCCAAGAAAAACAGGGGGGAAAAATAAATCAAAGACTAATTTCTGGAGTTCATTGGGAGTCTAGCAGCAAGAATGTTCATTCCACTGTAAAATTCTGCCTGGCCAGTGATTTCAGTCTCTCCGCCGCTGGTGATCCACCGCTGTAAAGAAAGCGCACACAGCTGCTGTGATGAAAGTGTGTACTCCCTCATAGAGAAGTTTCGGTGAAAAGACGCTCCAGATAAAGAGATGGTATCGCAGTCCCGTGATCAGAATAATATATACCGCAACTGGGATGGAACGCAACAGGGCGTAACAGAAACAGCCATGCCCAATCGCTGCAGGATTCCTGTAGTGTTTAAGAAAAAAAACAAAACCAAAACACAATTTGTTTTACATTTTAGTCCTGGGGTAAATTTTATACTCCATTTAAAAAGTATTGGTTGAAAAGAAAAGATGAAACCGCATCTTAGATTACTGCAATGCGTTATACGTAGGGCTGCCCTTGAAGAGTAGTCGGAAACGAATGAAGGCAAATAATATGTGTCCCAGGATAATGTTGGGACCTGTGACGAAGCCCATCCTCAGGCAACTTCTCTCTCACCAGAAAGAGAGAGCGAGAAGTTCCTTGAGGATGGGGCTCCAGCAAAAGTCTGAAAGCTGGGAAGTCTAAACCTCTGGTCCCAGTGACTGACCCAGATTGGATCCTGCAGCCTTCGGAAACTTCAAGTGGTGAAGAATGCAACTGGGCCAGTAGTAAATGACACCAGATACACAGCACATGTAACACCACTATTACGTGAGCTGCACTGGCTACCGGTATGTTTCTGGGTGCAATTCAAGGTGCCGGTTGTTGGCTTTAAAGTCCTACATAGCTTAGGATCGGATTACTTGAGGAATCATCTGTTTCCAAGAGTCTCTATCAGTGCATTCAATCCAAAAGATTGGGGATGCTGAAATCCCATTAGTTAAAGAGTGTCAAGCCTTTTCTGCTATGTGGAATATTCTCCCCTCTGAGATTAGAATAGCCCCAACACTGTTAGCCTTTTGTAAGGCTTTAAAAATTTGAGTCTGGGGCTCAACTAATATATATATTAGTTTTAGAATTATAAGCTGCCCAGAAATTGAATAAATAAAATAAAATAAACCCTTCCTATTCTCCTGTATTCTTGAAAAGCTAGATACAGCAACAAGTAGCAAGACATTGGGGTGGGGTGGGGTGTAAATATTTCCAAAAGTTTGCAAAGTACCCAAATCTGACATCTCAACATAGGGACATAACTCTACCCTAGCTGATTCCCTTCCCTTCAAGAGCTGGGCGTTGAATAAGGATGGACCTGCAATGAATTTTCTCTCTCCATAAAACTATCCTGCATGTACCTCAAGACTATCTTAGATGGTACAGATAATCCCTATTTAGTGGCCAAAGTTGGGACCAGAGACACAGTCAAGTAGTTGCTAAGTGAAATCACAACTGTGCTTCTGATGTGACTTCAGCTTTCCTTTGCTTTACAGCAGGGGTGTCAAACTGCCGGCCCGCAGGCTGGACGCGTCATACAGAAGCCGTGCCCACCCCGTTGCTGGCGATGGCAAAACTGTCCCGATACGTTGCGCGACGACACGTCTGCTTTATAGAGACCTGCAAAAGTCACAGATGTAAGGAGTGATCATAAAGTTACTTTTTCATCATTGTCGTAACTGCAAACATTTGCTAAGTAAAGCAGTCACTCAACAAGGGCTACCTTGTAGTGTGTTCCTAGAGAGGTCAAAGGAAGTTTTTTTAGGAAAAAACCCCAAAGCATGGAATGACAACAGCAACAGCAAATTTGAGGGCATTATATACTGTACAGTATAACCATTGGCAGCCTTAATGTCCATGGATATGGCTATTCACAGGGCAGTACTGTAAAAGAAACCACTACACACTGTGGTCCATCAATACTGTCATGTGTATCAACCAATCAAAATGAAAATATGTTACATTTATTCCTTGATTCCTGATGAATACATTCATAAAGTATTCCTGGCAGTATTACAAAAGCAGTTTGCCACAACCTTCTTCCAAAATGTCCCCCCACCCCAACTTCTCCATTTTGCAAACAATCTTTGAATTCCAACTCCATCTCCTATCTGAACAGTAACTTGGGCCAACTACTGTATGCTTAGTCGTTATGACAGCTAAAGTCAGCTTCGTGCTACTAGTAGTATTTTAGGAGTAGATGGGGGATTTGAGACCAGATCTTCCCTGAGCCCAGGAAAGACAGGCACTGTATTACATGGCCTCTGAAAACAATTGGTAGCACTGAAGAGGCCTAGTCCATATATAAAACTCCTGTAAGGTTTGGTTTATTCCTTTTTAAAAGTATCTTATTTCTTTTACGGTGCTTGCACCATTTTAGAGAGCGAAAGCAGAGAAATCCTAGTAATAAATAATATTTGGTTGATCTTCCAGCTATCCTTATGACAAGACTAGGTAAGGATTTATTTCTTAATGGCTTGACGCCTAGATACAACAGCTAGCCATTCATCTGTGACAAATGACCCTCCACACAGCAGAGTGAAGCAAACACCTCCTAATGCTTTTCACATGAACAGACTTTCCCTGATCAAATTAAGGAGGCAAAAGCATTGCCATGATCTCTGAGAAGACTGGCCGAAGGCTGTCTCAGGCTTAGGATAATCTGGGGAAAGTAATTATATCAAAAAGCAATCATACAGATCCGCAGTCTCCAACTTTTCCGGTTTGGTGGGCCAGTGGAGGGAAGGGAGAGAGGATGATTCCCTGCGAGCGGCAGGCTTGCATGCATGCACAGTTCCATTTGTGCAAGTGGAGCTGCAAGCGCACACCTGCACACTCGCCACTTGCGTGGCCCGGTTCCGATATCAGGGTTGGGGACCCATGATGTAGGCTTTAAAATTAATTTTGAAAACTGTAAATGAAGAAAAGGTCAATGTTTGGAATGCGACACTTTATGGCAGACATGTCAAACACAAGGCCCGGGGCCCGGATGCAGACCGCGAAGTGGTTTCATGTGGCTCGCGAAGCCATCCTGGAAACGGTGAGGGAACGGCCCACAGTGCCTTGGCCCTGGCCCAGGCTGGCCGGGAGCCAATGTACAATTTTGTGGTGGCCATCTATGCTGAAACGCATTCAGTCTTAGCTCCACAAGGCCGTTTAGAAACAGCGAGGAACCAGCCCCTGCCGCGTCAGCCCTGCCCCCTGGGTGCATGCTGGGGAGGTGTCACCCTTTGTGAGGAATGAAGAAATGGACCATGCCTTGGCGCTTGCCTCGGTCCCATCCCCTTCTGCCAGAGACCTTCAGATCTGTCCCACTCCTGCCCAGGCCCCCACAGGCACCCTTGACGCGAACGATGTAGAGCTGACCACACCTACCCAGTAGGCCACATCCATTCCATCCACACCCACCCAGTAGGCCACACCCACCCTGGCCACACACACCCCGCCCCCCTGAGGGCAACCGCAATGCTGATGCGGCCCTCAATGAAATTGAGTTTGACACCCCTGCTTTATGGCAATGGCTTCTTTGATGCCCCCCATCCTTTAAAAAAAAGTCTATCTACAACAGGACTCCCCAACCCCCCCCCTGGCCATGAGCCATTCAGAACTGGGACACGGAAGCGGCAGGTGAGCACATACGCATGCACGCATCCCCATTTGCACAAGCAACAGGCAAGCATATGCATGCATGCTCCGTTTGCGTAAGTGGAGTGCACGCTCGCCCGCTTGCATAAATGGAGCTGTGTACGCGCTTGCCCACCGTTCGCACGGAACCACCCACTCTCCTCCCCCGCTGGCCTGCAAAGCCAGAAAGGTGAGGAACTCTGATCTACAGGATTAACAGTGCTGTATACACCTCCAGGTTTTGTCNTTTGGTAAACCAAATCATGTGTCGCTAGATGTACAAGCCATGAGATTTAAAGGGAACCATATGAAGAGGAAGAAGTTGCTGTAAGCCTAAAATAAAAATTATTTCCTATCAGCCATAAAGTGAAAACACCAGCTCTTCTCTCTCTCTCTCTCTCTCTCTCTCTCTCTCTCTCTCTCTCTCTCTCTCTCTCTCTCTCTCTCTCTTTATGTCAGGTATTATAAGAAAAAAGGGAGCCATTGTGATCTGCAGTAATTCATGTGAAATCTTACGCTCTTATTTTCTGAAAGTAGAAAATAAAAAAACAATTCGATGTAGCTAGTGTGGGAGTGAGGTTGAACTGTGAACCAGAAAGCTTCCAAAATAATATAGTTTCTCCTCTAGGCAACTCATTCACTTTGTGCAATATGGAGAGAAGAATGACTAACACAAGGGGTTGTTTACAACAGGGGTCCCCCCAGCCCCCGGTCTGTGGACCAATACTGGGCCCCGGCATGCCAGCAACTGGTCCATACAAACAAGCAAAGCCCCATCTGTGGGGTGCAGGCAACACACAAAACCACGCACCCTCTGGTCTGCGGAAAAACCTCTCTCCATGGAACCGGTCCCTGGTGCTCAAAAGGTTGGGGACCTCTGATTTACAAGGTTCTCCAAGGCTTTTTCACACGTAAAAATTGTACCAATTCTGGATCCTCACCATTGGTTTGGGGGAGATCTTTAACAGCTGAATCTGAATTTCCAGTTCAGCTACTACTCCAGAGGCAACCATTTAATCTATATTCCAATGTTTTCTCCAGAGTTATGGAATGGTGGATAGTTTCCCATTAATGGGAACTTGCCCTGATTTGCTTCATCTACCCAATGTTCTTACAGGCAAGGCTCTGTTCTCCTATCCTCTTTGCTGGTGGATCTGAGGAGTTTTGCCTTTTCGTTTCCTCGTACTAAGACAACTGTCAGGGTTCCGACTAATGAAACACTTCAAAGAACTTCCAGGCATTTTTTATCCTAAAAAGTCTTTATTCATGTAACAAAATGTTGGCACGGCACGAATGAGGATGCCAAGATCTGAATTTCCCCTCCCCTGCACAGAACATATCAGCCTATTCCCCTCCTCTGTTTTGCAGTCATAAATCACGTTCTCCAATCAGCCCGAAGGGCAAAGGTTCACTTCCGTTCTGCAGCCCGGGTATTCCTTATCTTAATTACTCCCCTCCCAGCATCACCTAATTAACTCTAAAAATACCAGACAGTTCTGCATATTTTGTCAAAGCAAGAATATCCAATATTAGCAGCATTGACAACAACAACAAAAAAGGGAGGATTTTTGCAGGCTCCATTAGCCAGCTCGAGAGAACTGGGAGGGGGCATGTTGGCTAAACTCTTGACATCAGTGGTGAAGGCACTCATGGAGCAGCATGAATACAACTCCAAAGGGTCTGGAGATTTAAAATGCTGTGGGTGT